AGAAACCAGATACTAGACACCAGTACCAGACACCAGATACCAGATACCAGACACCAGACACCAGATACCAGACATCAGATACAGAACCAGATACCAGATACAGATACCAGATACCAGATACCAGACACCAGACACCAGATACCAGACACCAGACACCAGATACCAGACATCAGATACCAGACACCAGATACCAGACACCAGATACGAGATACCAGATACCAGACACCAGATACCAGACATCAGATACCAGACACCAGATACCAGATACCAAACATCAGATACCTGATACCAGATACCAGATACCAAACATCAGATACCTGATACCAGACACCAGATACCAGATACCAGACACCAGAAACCAGATACCAGATAAAGAGATAACAGATACCAAATACCAGATACCAGATACCAGATACCAGACACCAGATACCAGATTCCAGATACCAGATACCAGACACCAGATACCAGACACCAGATAGCAGATACCAGATGCCAGACACCAGGCACCAGACACCGGATACCAGATACCAGATCCACACACCAGATACCAGATACCAGATGCCAGACACCAGATACCAATACCAGATACCAGATACCTGATACCAGACATCAGATACCAGACACCAGATACCAGTACCAGATGCCAGACACCAGATACCAGATACCAGACACCAGATACCAGATACCAGACACCAGATACCAGACATCAGATACCAGATACCAGACACCAGACACCACATCAGATACCAGATACCAGACCAGATACAGACACCAGACACCAGATACCAGATACCAGACACCAGACCAGATACCAGATACCAGACACCAGATACCAGACATACCAGACCAGAGACCAGAGATACCAGATCAAATGCCAAAGGATAAAATGATTAGAGATAGGGATAAAGTATATATCGCTAGCATTGCATTAGCATACCAGCAACTGCGCTACGTGAGGTTTTAAATAAAGACATCAACGTACAATATTTGGCATAGCGTTAGCATGCCAGAAACTGCGCTAGTCGACTATATTAAGCGGTGATCGATTGTTTTAAGGAAGAGGTCACGTGACGTTAGAAATTTTGGGCGGGCGACGTCGACGCGGTTTTTCGGTTTTTTAGGAGGTTCGCGAAACGTTCGGAAGGAAGGAGGTACCGTTTCGGAACTAGAAACTCGGCGCTTTACGGGCGGGCGAGAGCCGTCGCGCGGCGAGAGGAACGGATCGGATCGAAAACGGCCGGTAAAGTCGAAAAATCGACCGTTTTTCGGACGGTACGCGGCGTTATTTCACACTCGTTTCGCCGTTTATCGAAATATCGACTCGAGATCGGTCTCGTTCGATAGCTAAACGACGCGCACACTTTAGGGCGGAACCGATCGCGGTCCGCGTCTAGTTTTTTTTTAGAAATGTTAAAAAACGCGAGAAAAACGGCAAGTCGCGGTAAAAACTCGATATCTCCTTACGCCGAAGAGAAAAGAATTTCGCGCGCCGCGTTTCGTACATCTCGACTAGCGCTACGAATTACGCGGAGAGACTTTTTTCGTTTACGGCACCCGTTTCGAATAAACGAACCTCGAACGTCGTCAAGAATGACTTTTTTGCTTATGAAACGCGCTTATCGCCGTCCACGGTCTATCTCCTCCGAAGATAACGAAGATACGACCTGGCGACTGTCGCATAAGAAAGCCCGTACTTCGAATCGGGATCGCAATTTTATCCGTTTTCTCCATTCGTTTACGTTGAAAAGTTTCGATTTTTAAAAATTCCTCGACAATACGCTACTTTTCGACGCGTGAAAAAGTCACCTTGTCATCCGGCTCTGTCCTCGCTTATTACTACCGTACGTGAGCGAGTAAAAATTATACAGCTATCGAAAAATAACGATAATGAGCGACGAAACGATTCTGACCGTCAGAATTACCGTCAAATTTCGAAAAAGTAAACTTTGAGCGCCTCAAAAGTACCGATGACAACCGTTTTTCGGCGTACTTTGTCTTCGTCGATACGGACCTGCGTTACGGAGCGACGTAGCTACGATTTTTTTTCGCAAAACGAAAGGCCAAAGTCTCCTGATTAAACCGACATACGACACGTTACCCGATCGCATTTTTTAAACTCGGCAGATTACAAAATTAAAGATATGCAGATAATTTTAGTTTGACGTTTCAATTTTGAATTTCCCCTCCAGATCCCCGGATTCCTGTTAGGCGGGGTATTGTAGATACGATCGTATTACGAAAGCGAGCGAGCGAGTGCGAGCGGAACGTCAAAAACGTGCCATTTTCGGCTTCATGACTATCGCTTCATCCAATATTGGATCACGCCAAATAGAATTGTCCTTTTTTGCGCGTGAAAATCTACATTTTCGAAAAGATTCAAAATTTCTATATTCCATTGTCTAAACGGACCGGACTAGAGCCATTAAAATCGGATGAATCTAGTAGTTTTTTATGTTTACAGATTGCGATGTCTACCGCCAAAGGCTGCAATTATTCTTTGACGTTCATCAATTTATTGAAATCATCATCGGTTTATAAATACGATAAAAATATGATTGTAAGCCCCTATTCATGTTATAATTTTACAATATGGCATAAAGCTCCGCTTTTCCAACCGATTGATATAAAGCGTATGTCTGATTGCATCACCTCCGATTTCTAACCTACAATGTATGAATGTAAACATTATCGAAATCTTAATAATGAGGCTCCCGTTAATAAGGATTAATTAGAAGCTTAGAACAAGCAATCGCAGCTACAAATAGTGAAAGTGTTGTGTGAAGTGTTTACAGTTTATGTGTTTCTATTGCAAACGTAAGTAGTCAGTCACTTCTATGAAGTTCAGTAAGAGTTCAGTCTTGACCCTCAGTTCAATTATTAATATGTAGACCTATTAGCTGGCTAACAGTGGCACATACATATTATCAAGCAGATGAAGGAATATGCAAAGCGCTGAAAAATAGCATTGATAATCATATCTACTACCAAAGTTTTCAAAATTACTAAGACTTTCACAGCCACTGCAGTTGTTTATTTTGATCTCAATGCAGAATGTATGTACTTCGATTTAGAATGTAGCTGCTTTAAGGACTTGTCACTTCCAAGACTTGTCAAAACAACAGACACCATTACTTGTCAAAAAACTATAGCACTTGATGATTTCAAATTTCTATTCTGTTTTTAAAGATGTTATTATTATATGTCTAATTTCAAGGATACTCACATCTGTCCTGTTTCTAAGACTGATCTTAATCATAGATTACAGAAAAATTCATTATTGAATCAGAGGAAACAGATTACAAAATTTGATTTTCAAGCGATACTATTACTTACTGTCCAACAACTATAGTACTTAATAATTTCAAGCTTCCGGTCTAATTTTTGAGATGTTATTATTATATGTCATGTTTCTAATTGATTGATCATAATCATACAACATTAAAAAAAATAGAGGAAATTTTATTTTAAAGCGATAGCACATTTTTCTCCAGATCATAAAGCGAGCATTGTTCATCTGCTTCTGTTGAATTTTTCCCAAACGAAGAACTTTACCACCAACAAACTCATAAATATTGTAAAAACCTTGTAGTAGTAGTATCTCACCTGAGTAGTATGTATAAATGGAAAATAAGTAAACAAACTTGTCATCTATCCCTTCGATTGGCAAATATTATCAAGCAGATGAAGGAATATGCAAAGCGCTGAAAAATAGCATTGATAATCA